TTCCTAACCATGAACATGGAATGATTCTCCATCTGTTTACACAGTAACTAGAGCTGATAAAGTTCACAGTCACTAAGGTGCAATTATCTGGAGGGACTTCGAGCCCTTGGTTGCTCGAGGGATTGCCAGTCTGAGGGCAGCCAGGAGGAGTGCTCTTGCCCCAAGCCTGCCATACAGCGGGTATCTTTAGGATACTGAACGCTGCCACCTGGACTATGGATTCTTGTCCTGGTATAACTGTTTTTCCCTTAAATCATGCGTTGCACCATGTCTGCGACAGACATTCCTCTGACTATAAGCTACTTATTCCTTAATCCATGCTCTGTACCATGTCTTCTCTAGGCATTCCTCCTATTATGAACTAAGATATAGTGATATACATATATATATATATATATGGAAATAACTGAGTGGTAAGATATTCATTAGGCACTCATTCTCCGACTGATATATGATATATAAAGGATTGTATAAAAGGAAATAACTGAATAGTAATACTGTAAACTGAGGTATTCTGCAGATCTTAATTGTGCCAGGATCCTGCTTAGCTCTCCTTCCTTGGTGCCTATAATGGGGGGTTACCTACAAACAAGGCTCAGAACACAGAAGCAATCTCACTTTACTTAAACTCACACCTTCTTCTGCTTTACTTATTCTGCCTTATTTATTTTTGATCCAAGGTTTTTTAACAGAAAGACCCTTTAAGAGAACATTCATTCATTATTTATTTTTTTAAGCTAAACACTGTCTCTTTCCAAAGGGGTGATTGTCCTGATATTCAGCCAGAGAAAAAATATGTTAGAATATAGTCAAGCAATGGTCTATTTTAGAGTTACTGCATAAGTGTGAGTTTGAAACCCAAGATCATAATTTTTAGTACATCTGTTTTTTGTCTTTCTGATCAATTATTCAAAGAGAACACATATATCTCTACTGGAATAAGTAAAGACTAGAAAGAAGAATATACACTCAAAATCGCTCTAAAAATGACAAACCAACTTGCAGAGACACATCAGTAACTACATTATAGACAAGATTTTATCTTATAAAAAGAGGCATGCTATTTGAAGACACAGCATCTCAAAATTTACTTTTTGGTTTATAATCCTTTAAGGAAAGTTTTCTGGAAGAAGGGAATAATCTGCCTCAGTGTGTTTCTAAATATTCATCTCTTACAAAATTCAAATATTTTGCAGCATTCCAGAATCATTTTTAGGTATCTATCACCCAAATCTGGATTTCAAAATTGTTAAGAAAATGCTTTTGGGGCCTGGCGCAGTGGCTCAAGCCTGTAATCTCAGCACTTTGGGAGGCTGAGGAGGGTGGATCACGAGGTCAAGAGATCGAGACCATCCTGATCAACATGGTGAAACCCCGTCTCTACTAAAAATACAAAAACATTAGCTGGGCATGGTGGTGCGTGCCTGTAGTCCCAGCTACTCAGGAGGCTGAGGCAGGAGAATTGCCTGAACCCAGGAGGCAGAGGTTGCAGTAAGCTGAGATCGCGCCATTGCACTCCAGCCTGGGTAACGAGTGAAACTCCGTCTCAAAAAAAGAAAAGAAAATGCGTTTGTCAAGGTTGTCATCCAGTTTAGTGATTTTATTGCTTTTTCAAATTAACAAAAAGAATCAGTCTTTGGCAAAGGAAGAAGTGAGTATGAAGAATTAGAATAATCTCATTTAGGCCTAAAATATCTGACCGAAAATACACCAAAGTCATCAAGAATCAACATCCAGTTAACCTGCGTGAAAATTCTACTAGTGTTCTTTTTATTCTAGTTTATTTGGAACCAAATTGTAGATATAAGCAGTCTCTCAAAATCTTCTATTTGTTCTGGTCAATATAGAAAAGTGTATATTTAATGCTCAAGTTAATAAAACTTCACATGACTCAGCTCAATTACTTTTCTCTCAAAAATACTATTTGACTTATCCTATCCCCATGGAGCCTCTCTTTCTTATCACTAAATCATTTGTATTATTTTTGTTGTATTTGATAAGTATTTAGATCCACCAGAAAGGTGACATTGCAACTTCGCGAAGGTAGGTGTTGTGTCTATTTGACATTTGAATTATATTCCCAGAGTATAAAAGAGCAGATAGAAAATATAGTTTATCAACTAAAATATTTACTGACTAAATTGTGAGTTAATAAATGAGTTAGATCTGTTCTTACATGCTTAGATTGTTCAGTGTGCTAGATTTTGTTCTTTTTGGTTAGTTCATTATCCTTGTAGTCTATACCTTCTGCCCCTTTGCAGATGCTTTGCTACTCATACTCTAGCCTGCCACTAGCTCACCTCTGAATTTTTGAAATTTTCAAGAAAGTTTCAGATGGGGCAAATGTTGGGGCTCAGAATACCATACTTTGAAATATGGTAGCTTGGCAAGCTGAGTGCTTTGAACCAAATCAGACTGAAAGGGCTTCAGAATCTAAGTTTTTATTAGTTTGTTTATTTGTTTGTTTTACATCCTTCTACCTTCCTTTCTTCTGCTTCCCCTTTCCTCCCAAGGCAAGACTTAGAAACTAGAGTTTCTCTTCCCCAAGGTGGGTCATAGAAAATAGAATTCCTTTCTTCAAAGCAAGGCAATAAATAAATAAATAAAACTAAAAATATTACTCTGACCTTATCCTGATTTTTGCAGAGGAGCTCATCATAAAGAAATTCTACGTTGTCTGAAAGCAGACCCACATTTCAGAAGGATCCTTCCTATTCCAAGGTAAAGGAATGCTACAGTGAGAGGCCAAAAAGAATCTGAACACAGGACTTGCTAGGTTACCCTCATCTCCTCCACAGACTTTTGCCATCAGATTATATCCTCTTATCCAATCCCATTTCTACATAGCTGTCCATACTTCATCGAATCTATTCATTAAATTAGACAATTTTTACTGGACCCTTGGATCCTAATTTCTGTAGCCTCCCATGTCACATAAAACTTTTATTAAATAAATGTGTATGCTTTTTCCTGTTAATCTCTTTTGTCAGTTTATTTTCAGTCCTAGCCAGGAACTCCAGGAGACTCGAGGACAGTTTCTTCCCTTACAATAGCAATAACAATTATATGCAGCTTATTAGTCATTGGATAATTGTATAAATGTTTTACCGTTATTAACTCCTGTAATGCTCATAAATTCAAGAGGTTGTATAATTATCTTTTATTACAGATGGAGAAACAGTGCACACAAACTTTAAATAATTTGCTCTATGCCACATGGCCCTTAAGAGTAATGTGAAGATTCAAGCCTAATTTACCTAGCTACAGAATTCTTTTTTAAAGCTTGTTATACATGGAGTGAAAGAATTGACTGATGTTTTTACTTTACCAACTTAATTTTTCTGCCTCTAGACAACACTTTAGGAAATATTAGGAGTTTTCATACAGTCAATGACAAAAATAAGAGAGAAAAACAGTGCACTTAAAATATTAGATAAATCATTTATACAAAACTTGCTAATTTATTCTATTCATTGGGATGTAAATCGTTTAAAGGTTTTAGGCTTCAGTGATCAATAAGATAAAGGCCAAAAAGAAAGGAAAAAAGAAAAGGAGAGAGAAAAAATGGAAAAAACAAGCAAAGAAATAAACAATGTAAGAAAAGAGCAGATGTGATGAGTTATATCTGGATGGATTATGAGATTCCATTGCAATTTCAAGGTGCAGAATGAGATATTGCACAGGTAAATGTGGATTTACGCAGAGGGGCCATATTTGAGGTAATATCAATGGATAGGATTTAAAGTGTATATAGAGCTTTTATTTCCACATAAGCTGTAGAAAATTACATATAACCTGCTCCCATCCTATTTAAAACAATGCAGTTAATCTATAAAAGCACACGTTTTGTGAGCCTATCTTGGAACTAAGGCTGCATGTATTTAAATAATCTCAATTCCAAGCAGAGAGAAGACCCTTCCAAGAGGAAATGGGACATATGAACTGTTTCAGTTTTGGCAAAGGGTGAGAGAAAGATGAGGCCATCTTATAGGCATGTAAGAATAAATCAGCTATATATATTCAGAATATACCCAGAAAAAATAAAATATAATTATACAAAGAAAACAAATTTCACAAAAGATTTAAAAAGTATAGCTTGAATCTAAACAATCTATCCAGTAACTGTTTCAAAAGTTTAAACAAAAAAGACCAATACTTGGAAAAATGAAAACTAGCTTCTAAAGCATCCTATAAACAGCAGAAGAAAACAAAACTGTGAATCCAGAATATGTAAGAGAGAAATTAAAAAATAAAAGACATTTTAGCACTCTACCTGATTAAAGTTTATGGGATGTCACATCTGAATTCATTGTCAATTTTTTGCTTTACAACTTTTCTGTATTAAGAAATGTAAACTCAATGAATAAAGCATTTAACTCAAGGAATTATTTTTAAAACCAAAGTAAACTTGTAGAAATCAGGAGAAATGCAATGTTTAAAAAAAAAAACACAGGAATTTTGCAGCACTGTTTACATTAGCAAAGACCTGGAACCAACCCAAATGCCCATCGATGATAGACTGGATTGGGAAAATGTGGCACATATACACCATGGAATATTATGCAGCAATCAAAAATGATGAGTTTGTGTCGTTTGTAGGGACATGGATGAATCTGGAGAACGTCATCCTCAGCAAACTGACACAAGAACAGAAAATGAAACACCGCATATTCTCACTCATAGGTGGGTGATGAAAAATGAGAACACATGGACACAGGAAAGAAAGTACCAAACACTGGGGTTTATTGGGGGGAAGAGGGGAGGGACAGCGGGGGGGGGAGTTGGAGAGGGATAGCCTGGGGAGAAATGCCAAATGTGGGTGAAGGGGAGGAAGGCAGCAAAACACACTGCCATGTGTGTACCTATGCAAATGTCTTGCATGTTCTGCACATGTACCCCAAAACCTAAAATGCAATTTAAAAAAACACAGGATTTTAACAAAGAAGCAGTTTGACACATTACAGAAATCCAGTTTTCAAATGTTTAGCACACAAAACAGATATTATTACATGTAGATTTTTTTTATTGTTCATATTTTTATTATAATGTACAATGTGAGAAATGAACTTTTAAATCAACTGATTTGTATGGAAAATTACATGGCAAATAAATTAGACCCATGTTAAAAGAGAAGGTCGGCTAGATGTCCAAACTCAAGGATATAATGGGCACTGGTAAACAGATTAGATTCCAGAGTCTTCTTTAAGAGGCTTTCTTTCAAACACAATTTTTAACTTGGTGAGTTTGCATTTCAAGTCCAAAACATTGTGAAATGAGTCTTGATTTTTGCCCATGTACAAAGAAAAAATAAATATTAGAGTTGTCGATGACAGAGATTATCAAATGTCAAACTTGTAAATGGATACAGAAAGGTGAAAATCAGTACATGGAAAGAGACAGAAATTTTGTTTATATGTGTTATATATATGCACATATTCAAAACTATTGATTTAGAAGAACATGCACAAAACTTATTTTGGAATAAAATTTTCTTAGAGTTACATTCTAAACATGCTGCATTTTTAGCTGTATAACCTGTAAGATGTTACAGCTCCTTTTCCTAAGTGCACAAGATAAATGATAACTCCAAATCTGATTAGAGGGTAGTTGTAGAGTATTTAGAAGATGTTCTTTTTTCAGATGTTTCAGATGGGGGAAAAATATTTGTTTTTCTTAAACTGAAAACGAGTTTATTAGAGAAGTAAAGAAATAACAGAATGGCTACTCCACAGGAAGAGCAGCTAAAACTCAATATTTGTAAAGGAGTTCTATTTTCTTTAATATTTTATAACATTTTTCAAATTTCCTCCAACATTATATTAATATATGCTTTTTTCCATAACTTAATTATACTGAAATATTTTATTTCCAAAATCAAAAATTCTAAACTGCTGATATATTTTTTCTTTTTGGTTATTTGTGTTCTGTCAATTAAATTAACCAAAAGTAATTTGTAAAACACAAGTTAAAATTCTCGAAAAAAGGCTTTGTGCAGGAATGTAAGTCTTCTAATGATAATGGACAGCATTGATTATGATTGCCTTAAATACTCTACAACTACCCTCTGATCAGATTTGGAGTTATCATTTATCTTGTGCACTTAGGAAAAGAATCTGTAACATATTACGGGTTATACAGCTAAAAATGCAGCATGTTTAGAATCTAACTCTAAGAAAATTTTATTCCAAAACAAGTAATTCTACCCACTCTGCTATAATTCTTCTCCATATAATAAATGAAATAATATCTAAAACTATTATCATTGTGTCCCAAATAGTTTTTTCATAACAAATTTGTCTACAATTGAAATATACATAAGAACTTGAGTAATATAATTTTAAATGACAATGATATTTTCTTATTTTCCACATCAGTTGCTTTAAAAACATATATTTAGAATGTAACTATGACACATATATTATGATTTCTACCATTTGGATTTCTAAAAACCTATGCCTGGAAATGTTCAAAATCATGTTTCATCAAACAAAAAGTAGCACAACAGAAATGCAAATAAATTAAAGGATTCAACTGTTTTTATAGAGAGACCAAGAAAATACCCAAATAGGAATGAAAGAAAAAAATGAGTGTAAATGTTCAGCATTGCTATTTTAATTACCTGGAGTACTCTCTTCTCTGCATGACTTTAATGAAAGCATCTTTCACTTCTTTGTTTCTAAGACTATAAATGAGTGGATTCAACATGGGAATCACAATAGTATAAAACACAGAAGCCACTTGATCCCTTCCCAAGGAATAAGACTTTCTTGGTTTTAAATAAGTAAAAATCAGAGTGCCATAAAAGATGGTGACTCCCAAGAGATGAGAGACACAAGTAGAGAAAGCTTTCTGCTTTCCTGAGGTGGAATTAATTTTCAGGATAGTAGAGAGAATGAATGCATAGGATGCAGATATTGTGATAAGGGACACCATCAGAGTGGAACCAGCAATAATAAATATCAGAATTTCAGTGTTGTATGTGTCAGTGCAGGACAGAGATAAAATTGGGGACGTGTCGCAGAAAAAGTGATGAATTATGTTTGACTTGCAGAAATGCAGTCTGCTCATGCAAACCACATTGACAAAGGAGTCGATAAAGCCAATCACATAGGGCCCAGTGACAAGAGCGTGGCAGAGCCTTTTGGACATAATAACTGGGTAGTGTAGAGGACAGCAGATAGCTACATAGCGATCATAGGCCATCGAGGAGAGAAGGTAACACTCCGCAGTCCCCAAGAAGACAAAAAAGAACATCTGGGTAAAGCAGCCCCTGAAGGAAATATAGTTGAAAGTCAGTAAGTTCGCTAACGTTTTAGGTGTGATGACAGTTGAGTAACTGAGGTCAATAAATGACAGGTGAGTGAGGAAGAAATACATGGGAGTGTGAAGCTGGAGGTCCAGGCGGATGATCAATATCATCCCCACATTCCCCAGCACAGTAATTAGGTGTATCAGGAGAAATACGATAAAGAGAGCCAGCTGGATCCCTTCAGAATCCGTCAGTCCCATTAGGATGAAATCAGGCACATTTGTGTTATTCCTTTTACTCTTCATGCTCAACTGCTTTAAACTGCTGAGAAACCAAAGTTGACACTTAACAGGAACGACTTTAAAAGGTTTCTGTTTATAGGAATGACCTAGCGTTTAATAATTAGTTTAGCATTCTATAAATCGATAAGACATTTATAGAATACGACCAAAACTAATTTTATTGCCAATATAGATATAAGTAGAAATTAACATTTGCACATTATAATAAAACGTACCATATTGCATAATAATAAACCTGACATTGTTTTGAATGCCTTCCTTTAATACATTTAATCCACCTGAAAATACTTTACCATAGATACCATTAACCACATATTATAGGTGAGAAAAAAGAGTATGAAAGGTTTGAGTAACTTATCTGAAGTCAGATTAATTAAATGTTGACACTGATTCTTCTAAGATGTATTAACTTCAGAGAGAAGGCTTATATACTATACCCTTGTTTATAAATAATTTCAGAAAACAGCTAGATATGTAATACAAAATTAAACAGTTTTATTATATCATTTACTTCCCTTTTGTTTCCAATATTATTTAATACTCATTTTCAATAAATTTCACCCTTGTGGATTTTAGTAGACTACATTAAAATTATAGATGATATATAAGTATAAATTTATAAAAGATGTGATGTTTTCCTGACTTAACTAATCAAAATCTAATTTCTTCCAAGAACTATCTTTTTAAAATATGTCCTTTTCTTGTAGGCTCTGGGTCCATCAACTCTACATTAGTTACAACTTCTGACTGTACTTAGGGTAAAGACTAAATGGTATGTCTATGTATTAATATGTTATTCTGATAAAGTCCCCATTTTATTTTATCTGAAATAAAATCTGAAACAAAATCTTTCAATTTTGAGAAAAATACTTACTGTGTGTGAGTCAAAATTGGTGAAAAAATTTTCTTCTTATATTTTCTGAAAATTTGTCAACCTCAAATTTTGTTATAAATAAAATATGCAACTAAGGTGATGAAATTTTTCATAATATCTGTTTTTCTTAAAGTAAGTTGTCTTTACATTTTTGTGCATTTATTAAGTTTTATTCTGAGTTAAAATAAACCAGCCTAGAAGTTTTGTTTATGTCCTGGTAAAATGGAAAGACTACCAAGAAGTCATGTATCAAAGAATACTGGCAGTGACTGTGACCATAAGGAGATTATTCTTTCCCTCACTCTGATAATTCCGGAGGACCTCATATACTGGAAGCTGATGATAAGGCACCTTTTGGTAATCCCTGGGGACCATTTGCCAAGGAAGATTGCTTGGCATGTTTCCAAGGACAAAAGTTCAAGCACTAATTGCAGCCATGTTACATTTTGCTCAAAGGTTTCCCTTTTTACCTTAGAACACACATATGAAGGAAATTATGGCTTGGTCTTTTCGTGTGATGCTCACAATTTTTTACTGGGGTGGCGGAGAAGCCATTTCCATAAAAATACTCTATGACTGACAACATCAAAGATGGAATAAATGTATTTTTCACAATTTTTTTATATTTAAAAGTATGATACTATCATAGAAGGAAAACGTTAATTAGAAAAGAATCAGAATATAACAAAATTCAAAAAAGTGAATGAAAACAATTCAAAACTGTCATTAACATTTTGTTAATGTATTTTTTTCATAATTGTTCTTCTTTGCACACTTAATGCTTATTTGTACTTATAGCTTGCACAATTATTGTACTATATATTTAGTGTCTTTTCCTCATTTAAGAACCAAAATGGTATGCTATGCCATGAGCTATGTTATATTAGCTTTTTATAAACTGCGCAATTTTACGGTTTATGTATTGGTAGTGCCTCATAACTTACTAAATTAATGAAGCATTCACCAGCTGATAAATACACATTTTGAAGCATTACCAAATCATGGCACCGGTTACTCATTCTGGTGTGGTAGTGTCACCTAATTAATCTACATAAAGCATTTGTATAATATGTTTTGTTATTTCCATGTACCTTTAAAAATCTTATAAAACAAAAGTGAGAGCAGAAAGACAAAATCAGGGCTGGGCGTGATGAGTCATGCCTGTAATCCCGGCTCTTTGGAAGGCCGAGGTGGGCAGATCAAATGAGGTCAGGAGTTTGAGACCAGCCTGACGAACATGATGAAACTCCGTCTCTACTAAAAATACAAAATTAGCCCAGCATGGTGGCACAGGCCTGTGATCCCAGCTACTTGGGAGGCTGAGGCAGAGGAACTGCTTGAACCCAGGAGGTGCAGGTTGCAGTGAGCCAAGATTGTGCCATGCACTCCAGCCTGGGCAACAAGAGCAAACCTCCATATCAAAAAAAAAAAAAAAGGCAAAATCAGCCCCGAGACTAACAAACATTTTATAATTAATTTAGTAGACAAAACTTACTTCCTCTGTATATAATCAGGTCACATTATTTTCTTAAATATGAGTTACATATTACAATAAGGAAGAGCTGAAATATTCTACTGAGAATTATTTGCCCAATATGAGGAAGTAAAGGAAGAATCTGAAACAATATACAATGTGAATTAAGAGTAAAATAATAAAATGAATCTTAAGTCATGATAATAAAATCAATTTCACATAAATTTAAAAGTGAGTCTAGAAGGAAAGTGTACCAATAATGTAGAATTTCAGGAGATAATCTGTTGGTAGGTATAAGCTGCTACATTGGTATGTATTCATTGCACCTTTGATGAGCTTTGAAAAGGGCAATTTTATTCATTAGAAATTTAGAGATCCTGAGACAGGTTGATTTGAAGATTTAAAAGCCAGCATCACACTCTAACAACAGACAACATTAGGGTTTAAACCAGATAAGAGGTAAAATGTAACTATGTGGTTAGGACTGCTCATAACCTGAATAGACTTGGTGATTGCAAAATCTCCATGAGCAAGGGGTTTTCTTGCTCAATGTTTTTCTAACATTGAAAACCATTTTGTTCAGTTTCAGAGTTGTTTACAATGGCAGGAAAATTATTTTGCCATTTATTATGTCATTGCAGAAGCCTAATTCTGATCAGATATTTTATTTTATTTATTTATTTTTATTATACTTTAAGTTCTGGGGTACATGTGCAGAATGTGCAGGTTTGTTTTGTAGGTAAACACATGTCATGGCGGTTTGCTGCATCCATCCCCCTGTCATCTACATCAGGTATTTCTCCTAATGTTAGCCCTCGCCAATCCTCCCACCCACTGCTATCCCTCTCCTAGCCGCTCCCACCCCTCAACAAGCCCTAGTGTGTAATGTTCCCTTCCCTGTGTCCATGTGTTCTCATTGTTCAACACCCACTTATGAGTGAGAACGTGCAGTGTTTGGTTTGCTGTTCTTGTGTCAGTTTGCTGAGAATGATGATTTCCAGCTTCATCCATGTCCCTGCAAAGAACATGAACTCATCCTTTTTTGATGGCTGCATAGTATTCTATGGTGTATATGTGTCACATTTTCTTTATCCGGTTTGCAATCTAAATGGAGAAATAATGTAATGTTCTAGGTAATTATATTTTTTATGATTTATTTATTTATTTAGAGACAGAGTCCTGCTTTGTTGCCCAGGCTGGAGTGCCATTGCGCTATCTCAGCTCATTGTAACATCCACCTCCTGGGCTCAAGTGATCCTCCTGTCTCATCCTCCCAAGTATCCGGGACTACAGGTGCTCTCCACTAGGCTTGGCTAATTTTTTGTATTCTTTGTAGAGATGGGGTCTCACTATGTAGTCCAGGCTTGTCTCGAACTCCTGGGCTCAAGTAATCTTCCTGCCTCGGCCTCCCAAAAGTGCTGGGATTACAGGTGTGAGCCACAGTGCCCGGCGTAGGTCATTATATTTTAAACTATATTACCTATGCCTCTTTTATTCTCTCTCTCTCTCTCTCTCTCTCTCTTATGGATTATGTTTACTATTTTTTTTCATCTTTGGCTCAATTTAAAAAATTACTTTTTTTGATAGATTTTGTTCAAATACTTTTTAACTTGCTTTTTCAGTAGTTGTTTTTGTTATTTTTGTTTTAACATTTTATTGCTCCTACTTTATCAGGTTTGATTCATTATTTTTTCTCTAGCACTTTGTGAAAGTATTTTTTGTGGTTACTTGTTTAATAATACCAGAAGTTACTATTTGCATTATTCATCCAGGTGTCACTTTTCACCTATATACATAGTGATCTGAATTATTCCTATTATAGCTTATTATATAAATATTCTTACACTAATTTTTTTATTTTTTTATTTGACTAAGATTAACCTCAGATATGCTTAGTCTTTAAGTTATTAAAATCATAGTAAAATTATGATGCTAATTTTTTTAATTTTTGAGTTAAAATTATTTTTACATTATAAATATTGATTGATTGATTGATTTGGAGTCTTGCTCTGTTGCCCAGGCTGAAGTGCAGTGGCACAATGTTGACTCACTGTAATCACTGCCTCCTAGATTCAAACAATTCTCCTGCCTCAGCCTCCCAAGTAGCTGAGACTACAAACACACCCACCACATCCAGCAAATTTTTGTATTTTTTTTAAATAGAGATGGGGTTTTACCATGTAGGCCAGGCTGTTCTCAAACTCCTGACCTCAACTGATCTGCCAGCCTAGGCCTCCCAAAATGCTGGGGTTACAGGTATGAGCCACCATGCCCTGTCTGTATCTGTTATCTTTAGCTATTAATTTTAGTTATTTTTTCTACCCATCCTCCTATTCCCCTATTTTAAAAAGCAAATATCTGTGCAAATTCCTAGCCATGCTACACTAGTTACTCCAAGTAGCAAATAATGATTTGAATTTATTTTAAATGGACTTTTTATCTTAATATATGGCTATGAGAATGAGTCAGAATCTCTGATATCAAAAATCAATTTTATCAAATTTATTTTACTTTCATTGACTAATTTCTTTCTTCAGAATTTTTTGAAATACTTATTGATATGAAAATTGTTTTAAAAAGTGTTTAAAAACTTCTCATAACAAAATTTTTCTTAAAGTTGGAGAAATAGAACACAAACTCAAGAAATACAAATGG